CCGGCGGATGAATGACATGGATTCCACCTGATTGTTCATATGTTGAAAGACTACACTTTTTTTTCTGCATGTGGTAAGAGTATCCCTTTTGTAAGACTATTGTAAACCAGTCAAATAGACCCCAAAAGTTGCATTTGTTAAAGCTATATTTTGTGCCAAAACCAAGCCCCACAAACAATTGATATGGACTTTTTGCCCTTAAATGTTGTGTTCTTTGTTATTTTTCAGGCATGTTACCAGGCGTCTAATCCCAAAGCACAACTTGGATTATCTTTACCTGCTTCTAATTTGTATGTGATTACAGGACTGTAGACAGTGTTATAATGCAGAGCTATAGAGCACTTCAACTTTGTGATGATTTTACGGAGTTGAGATTTTCTTCATTTCCTACCAAAACAACAGATTGGGTATCCCCATAAGGCCTGGCATAGAGGCATGTTATCCTACAATGGCTATATCACACTACTAGTAGCAGCAGGCAAAGGCCCTTCATTGCGGGGTGACAATGAAAGAGAAATACAATTAAGGTAAAAAGTTCAAGGAAAAAATATTTATAAAACGTTCCATTGCCGGGAATTGAACCCGGGTCTCCTGGGTGAAAGCCAGATATCCTAACCACTGGACGACAATGGATTGCTAATGGCTAACTTCAAGATAATTAATTATAATATTTAATGTTGATATAGTGTTCGCTGGAATCTTGTAAATGACGAGTTAATTGCGTCATATATCCCCAAATTATAATCATAATTTTATCCTCAAACTATGACTTTCATTCTAAATTATTCCTTAAAATTTTGAACATTCTAATTTTATCCCCAAAGTCATTTAAATATGTAATTAGTTTCAAGCATAGTTTAGCCTATTTTTTTTAATCTAAAGTAAATAAAAGATAATATATGTTTAAAGATAACTCATAACCATTTGACATTAAACGCTCACACCCCTATCATTCATAATGCTCGAATCCGGGACCTCAAGGAATAACAATAATTCTTTTACCACCGAGGTCGCTTGGTTCGTGTTATTTTTTTAAAACATATGATAATATAACTTGCCCAAACGATTTTATTTACAAAGGATGTAATTAGTTTATATGTATAGTTTGAAATGAAATTGAAATGTTAAAAAATTTTGGGGACCAATTTAGAATGAAGGTCATAGTTTGAGGATGAAAATAAAATGTTCAAAAGTTTAAGGACTAATTTAGAATAATAGTCATAGTTTAAGAATGAAATTAAAACATTTAAAGATTTAGGACTAATTTAGAAGAAGAATATTAATTTGAGGACGTGTGATGCAATTAACTCTAAATATATAGAATAAATCGAAGGAAAGTAAATGACAAGGTGAATCGGAAAGGTTTGACTTGGCATTAGGGGTGTAAACGAGCCGAGTCGAGCTCGAGTATTGCTGAGCTCGACTCGGCTCGAAAACTCTGAAATGGAGCTCGACTCGAATCGAAAACTCACGAGCTTAAAATATTTAAGCTCAACTCGAACTCAAAATCCTGAACTGAAGCTCGTGAGCAGCTCGAAAAGGCTCGAAATGAAAAAAAAAAAATCTTAAACTTAACTATATTGAAGTCTCAAACTCAAACTTGAACATGAACCTTAAATACATGAAAACCTTACTGTATTTTTAAAAAATAATCAACACATAAATATTAATATTATTAATAATTTATTTTTTTAAAAATAAAATCTTAATATATTATATTTTCGAGCTGCTCACGAGCTTTACGAGTCGAGTATCAAGTAGCTTGTTTCGGCTCGTTAAGAATTCGAGTCGAGTTCGAGCTCGACTCGAGTCCATTCGATCCGAGTATTTATCGAGCCTTGACCGAGTCGATCTCGAGTAACTCGCGATCTGTCTCGTCTCATTTACATCCCTACTTGGCATATCCCACTCTTTTTAATGGCATATCCAAAATATTTTACTTCATTAATGTCTTCTTCTTCCTAAATTAGCTATAAAACCCATGGTATTTAAAACTTACAAATTCTTTACAGCCATCAGCGAAGGAATTATATCAGTTTTGGAAACAAAGATACCTGTAGCTGTGGTGTCGAGGGATTACAGTGCAATTCTCATCTCGTAAAAATGCTTATTTTTCTGCATTATTATGTTTTGCCAAAGGAGATCTGCCTTGCCATTGGTACATTTTCTCTTTGCAAACCTCATTTTCTTGATTGATGAGTAGCTGAAAAGCTGGTCGTATGAGTGTTACTTTGATTAATGGTACCAATAACGGATAATAACAATGGATGCTTTGGCATGGAAGATTCAAAAGGATGTTCTTTATGCGGTGAGGGTATTCCTTTTCTAAGACTACATAGTTGCAGTTGTTAAAGGGGTTGTATTCTTTCCCCCAAATGCCTGAGTTGGTTCATCTCTATTGGAGGTGGCTCATGTAAGGGTTAAACCTTCAAATAAAGGTCAAATAAGAGACTGTTGACTGTGTGAGTGAATGAATGGCAAGGTAAATCTCCTTTGGCAATAACACAGGCAAAGGAGAATAGCTCTGTAGTACCTCAACTCCACATGTATCTTGTGAAATTGTTAAACCATGGTTTGAGGAATACCTGGAACATAGTTTACAGATAATTATTAGAGCAGACCTATCTTCAATTAGAAATAAACTCAACTTCATTTCAATTTAATTTATTGGTACAATATCATGCAGTAGTCATAATATTCATTTGATTCAAACTTCTCCAAGTCTTTTAGTCTAAACAAAATACCATTGTGCAGATATTGATGGTATACTGGATGGTGTGAATGGTATTTTGGGCCTAAATCAAGCCCCCAGTATAACTGATGTGGACTTCTGGCCCTTAAAAGCTGTGTTCTTTGTTCTTTTTCAGGCGTCTAATCCCAAAGGACAACTTAGATAATCTTTTGCTGCTTCTAATTTGTATGTGATTACAGGACTGTAGACACTGTTGTAATGCAGAGCTATAGAATACTTCAGCTTTCTGATAATTTTGCGGAGTTGAGATTCTTCATTTCCTACCAAAACAACAGATTAGGTATCCCCAAAGGCTTGCACATAAGGTTCAGCCCCTTGTTTTGGGTAAACAATTGTTTTATTTCCAAAGTAACACTTAGAGTACAGTTCTTGTCAAGTTGCAAGCACCATTGTTTGCTCATGTGACTCCTGATTCCCTGGACGAGAAGATTAAAGGGAAAACAACTTCAATTTCTAGACAAAAAACTTATGGGTAGAAACTGAGGGAAATGTCAAGCACAAATGGACATAGAAACAGTTTTATGCTATCAAATATCAAGTCTTTGTCCCTTTTCACTTAGATTGGAATAATAATAATAATAATAGCTCATTATTCTATGCTATCAAATGTAACCAACTAGGTCATCATTAGATTTTCATGATTAGGGTTTAGGGTTAATAGTAAAATCTGTATGATATATGTATAGGTCCTTAATGAGAGAGGGTTTATGTAATTGAAAGACCCAGTTAAAGATGGGACTTGATGAGACCTCAGAAGCGATAAAGAATAAAATACAAGTGAGAGTGACAGAGGCATGTGATTCTACAATGGCTATAGCACTAGCAGCAGGCAAAGGCCCTTGCTTGTGGAGTGACAAACAAAGAAAAAAAAACCCGTTAAGAAATGACCCGTGAATGACTGAAATATGCTTCAACCAGAATGATATATATAAACATTGATTGACACTGTTTCCCCAATGCAAATGGCTTCATTGATTGCCTTATTCTGACTCATTTCCTACATCCCTTCCCATGCAAATATCAAAACCAAATAGTCCACTTCTTATCCATATTTCAAATTAGGCTTTACCATTTGGGCATCTCTTGTTAGCCCTTTAGCGGCCCTGTTTCTTAAGATTATCATTTTTGTCACTAGTTAATCACTTTTGGGGTGTTACATTATAGCTTAAAACTATTCAAACTGGAAAAGCCAAATCTGTAAACAAAGAATAAGCTTAATTCCATTTTCATACAAGACAAGTACATGGTAACTAGCTATTTATGGATCCCAAGACATACCCTTTTCCCATCCTATAAAAGCTAAGCCGTACCTTCAAGGAAATCATCACATAGTGAAGAGAGAGGCAGAGATGGCAAATAAGCTTCAAAGAAGAACCTCAACTCGCAGAAAGCTTCAACTTATGCGAACTCTCAACAATTCCAAATCTGTAACTACAAAAACTAAGCTTGGTTTTGATTCAAAAAGTTTTTCTGTTCATGATGTTAACCCTGCTCTTTGTTTTTTGAAGGTTAAAAGGAGTTCCATCATCTTGAACGTTCTTCTCCATTTTCACAAGGTTAAGGCCAAGTTGGAAGAAATACAAAGCCTTATGGCCATTAGAAACGAATACTTCACTCAATTGAATCATATGCAAATCCCAAAGGTAACCCCATGTTTACCTCTATACATAATCCATGTTTTTTTCATTATTTATATATACATTGATGGTGTTTTAGGAAGAAGTGAATGTGGAGAAGAAAGGAGAAGGGTTTGTAGTTAAAGTGAGATGCAAGAAAGGAGGGGATAAGTTGGTGTTAATTATGGAGGCGTTGGAAGAAGTGTGTGAATGTTGTTGAAGTAAGAGTTTGTAGCAACCATTTGTTTGGCATGGAAGCCATTGTTGTGGATCATCACCAACAAACTACAGGTATCAAAGATATTACTCAAGCTGTTCAAAAGGCCATCCAAAAAACAAGTAGGAGAGGGGATGCTTGTTAGAAATGTTGATTAATGAAATGTTGCGTACTGGAAATTAATGTTAATGTTTAGTCTAAGAGCCTAGCTTAGCTAGAAAATGACAGATAAAAATCATTAATGAGATCTTTTCAATTAAAGAAAAGTTCAAAAATATAATAATAAAAATCACTTCTAATGACTAGTTCCCAGGATAGCCAACTACAATCTTCATGTCCATTAAGAAATTTTTTTAAAACTTGACCAGTACAAATATCAAATTAGTCAATTGAATTCATAAAATTAGATTAAACCAATTAAATATTCATGATGCAGTGCTAAAATATGGGAACTATTTACATTTCCAAGGGCTGCCAGACTCACTGGCAACAGGCCTGTAGATCAAGGTAGCTCTCGGCGAGAAAAGACGTTCAACTAACATTCCTGGAAAGGAGAGCTAAATCTAGCATCTGGTATGATTTCCTTGGATTTGGATGATGTAGATGAAGAGTAGAAGGAATGGACAGTAGTTAAATTTTGGGTTTGGCTTCCACTCGAACTTTGATCTTCCTTCTGTTGACAGAGATCTCTCATGGCCTTGAACCTTAAATCTTCAGTATAGCTGCCTGGTTCTGGTAACAAGTCAGGAACACTCGTTCGCCCTTCAAGCATGTTTACCACCTCGGACATTGTAGGCCTAAGTGATGCAGATGCATTTGTACACAACAGAGCTACTTTAACCATGAGTTCCACCTCTTCGTTTTTGACTTCGGATCTTAACCTCTCATCGAGAAGTGCTGTCACGTTTCCTGATTTTCGCACATGGCATGCCTGCAATACAGATTCATATATAGATATACCTAGTCAGATTTCAGCATAGGAGAAATCTGCAAACTTGTACAGGAAGAGGTCCACCAAAAGAAGAAGGCAAGTACCCAATCTAAGAGACAGACAAACTTTTCACTTGGCATAAAGTTATTGGTATTCTTCCCACTAACGAGTTCCATTGTTAGAACTCCAAAACTATAAACATCTGCTTTATGTGTCAGGTGGCCCCATAATGCATATTCCGGTGCCATATATCCTCTGCACATTAAAATGGTAATGTTTTAAGCAAAGCATGGTCTTTATGCATGTACACAAGCAGGAATAAAGAAATTGAATTTTGTTGGTTATTAAAAAGGTGAGAAACTCACATGGTTCCAGCAACTCGGGTGGTGATGTGGGTCTTCTCCTCTTCATAGAGCCTAGCCAATCCAAAGTCGGATATTTTTGGGTTCAAGTCACTATCGAGAAGCACATTGGTTGCTTTAATGTCTCTGTGAACAATCTTGAGTCTTGATTCTTCATGCAGAAAGGCCAGACCTTTAGCTATGCCAATACAGATATTAAGCCTTGTAGGCCAGTCTAGTTCAAGCTGATTGCATTCCGAACCTACATATTTCGTCAAGGAAGTATGCCTTACCATATTAAATTTTATCCATGTGAAACATGAAAATTGAAATCAGTTAATCATGCCTTGATCTTTAAACATTACAAAGAGTGAAACAAAGGACGAGTTCATGATGCAAGACTCACCAAACAATGCACGAGCGAGGCTGTTGTTTTCCATGTACTCATACACCAGTAGCAGTTGATCCCCTTCAACACAAAATCCATGAAGCTTGACAAGATTAGGGTGTTGTAAACAAGATATCATCCCAATCTCGTTCAGAAATTCACGATTCCCTTGCCGTGATTTAGAGGAGAGCTGCTTCACTGCAATCTTGGTACCATCAGGTAACTGACCCTGAACCCCGAACTGTATTAGATTCTCATATATCGAGTAAAATAAGAACTAATAATAACAGGATCTTCATGTGGAAATTAGCTAGGAACCTTGTAAACAGGACCGAAACCACCTTCTCCAATCTTGTAAGCAGGATCGAAGTCGTTGGTGGCAACTTCAATCTGTTTCAAAGTGAAAGTCCCCATTGGCATGTCTTCTTTGATACCTGTCCAAAAAAAGAGCCAAAAATGAATGTGCTTGTTTCATGATTCCTTAAACTAGAAAACTAATCATGTCCTGAATTCCAAGTAGGGTAACTAACATGAGCATTGACTACAAACAGAACTTACATTATATTAAATAATTAAAATTAGGCAATGTCAAATTAAATTTTTTATTTATTTCATTTTACAATAAAATTGATATGTTAATTTTAAAAAAAGTTAAATCATATTATAATGGTCTATTTGTTGTACTCGTCATTTATTTTTCACAGAATCTTCAAATGTGCTTGTCATAGATAGAGCCATAATCATTTTTTTTTTAAGAAAAACCGAATTAGCTTTCTAATTTTCTCACAAACACTTGAGCATTGTTCAAAGAGAGATCATTAAGACAATTGATTTAGATTCAAATTTTGAAGATTTTTATTTTTTAAAAGAACTTAGCTCAATATTTTAGTTAAGTTCATATACTTTTGTATTTTTGTTTATGAAGTTATAAATCAGAATGGGTGCTGAATGGAAGACTAATTCTTGAGAGTGATTGTAAAACGGCAGTGGATTGGATTTTGAGGCCTTTTGCTGCCCCTTTGTTTTTCAGTTCTTTGATTGGGGAAATTGGGAATTTAATTTCTGCTAGGGACATTATGGTTAGGCTGGTTCCTAGGGCTTGTAATTGGGAGGTAGACAAGTTAGCTAAGGAGGGGATAGGTTGATTGTCTTTAGTGTTATAGTGGTTATGTTTGGTATTTTATTTCGGGTGTTTATTTGTAATCTATAGTCTTATGTAATCTTGGTTTATTAATCTATTGAGGTACTCTTTTCCTCCTTCCACTAGTTGCCCCTTCTCAAAGGCAACTATGAGGGAGGTTTTTAATGAGACCTCCTATTCCTATAAAAAAAAGAAGTTATAAATCAGAAGTTCTATATGGTTATTAACCTTTATTAGTGATATTGCTTGTATGTATCTTTTATACTAGCAGTTATAGAAAAGAGATAAATACTTTAGTAAAAAGATAATAAATAGTTTTCGTCGGTCCCCTCAAATTAAATATCAAGATCCGCCACCGAGTAAAATGCCCGTAAATGCAACAACTTATTTTATAAGTAACATATCACCAACAGAATTAGAGGATGTACCTTTTTTCTGCCAACATTTCCCAAGTAAATGGCCTTTCCACCAAATAAGTCCCCCCATAAGGAGGCCAAGGCATGATCCTAGAACCCCGAAAGCAATGATACATGCAAATCCTTTGTTTCTTCTATTCGGACAAGGTTTAGAATCTGCCCAACACAGCAATGTTCATTAATAATTCATTAATAAAGCAGAACGAAAAAAGGACTAGCAGAAATCATTTTAAAGAAAGTTTGTGTTCATTTCTATGTTTTTTCAGGGAATGGGGTCGCCTTATGCATGTGCTGAAGAGGAAAGGAAAGACTATGTAAGCAGATAGTATACCAGAAACTACAGAAATTGCATTTACAAGTGGTCCATAGATGCTTCTTCGAGGAATCCTCGTTGTTCCTTTGCCAGCCCAACTAAATCGGATCTCCAGAAAATTATTTGTCACGTTTACATTTGAAACTTGTTTAACCAAAGGTTTTAGAGCACCCATTGCCTCGGATTCAATGTTGAAGTCTTTCCACAATAACTTTTCCTGCACAAAGGAGATTCATGTATCCACAATATTCAACTTAAGAAAGAAAAAAAAGTATCTTCAAAAGCATGTTCAACTAATCACCTGAACGTAAACATCAAATATGCGCCTACCAAGGCTGTTATATGTTTCATCAGGAGTAAACTGTATCTCAGCAAAATTGAAAGTTATGGTGTAAATTCCATTCACTAAGCAATAATGGAAATAAGTGAGTAATATTGGAGCTCTGCGGGCTGTTGTGTACAGTTCCAACATATTTGTCGATGGCCCTGGTACAGTGTAACGTGTATTTTGGAAATCATTGTCATCCATGAAGTCTCCAGTGCTACTAAATCCCCAATAACTATCTTCATTAATATAAAATTTTGCTGCACCACCTTCAACATCACCATCTCCTTCATAAAGTATGTTTGCATTATTTTCCTTCATCATAGTGTCCTTTCCACCACAGTTAACATGCAAACAATTTGAATCTGCTACAAAGTGAATGATTAGTATTTACCAAAGAAATAAGCTAACTAATACATTTAAGAAATGTAACATGAAGTCAATTTCTTGTACAGATATGGTACTGTTCCATGAAGTTTTGAATCAAACTCAACACCACTGTAATCTTTAATCTGATTGTTCCATACCATAAATACAGTACTACTTGATGAATGTGGACTTGGACTTATCAATCTTTTATTAGTCTATTTTACCATGTTCTTCATGTATGACACTACTAAAAGTATTTCGAAATAAGTTCACCAATAACTTCACCAAAAAATTTAATTTAGAAAATCAGTAACCTCAAAACGAATAAATATCTTCCGAATCCTATATCCAATTTTCCAACTCATGCAATTATGTGACAATGTGTTTATCAGTAAAAGTTAGTAGGGTGCATACAAGTACTGAAATAGTTTTTATGAATCTAGCTATCTTTTAGAAATAAGACAAGTAAAGCGAAGAGGGATGAAACTAATCATTTTAGCAGTGAGTCACTTCATATGAAAGAAATCCAGGCAAAAGGCTAAAATGCAAGTGGTTGATACAATAAAGTAAAAGGTTAAGCAGACTAAAAGTACTGGAAGTTCACATATTTTGATTCCTGAAGGAGACAACTTACATCGAGGACAAGTGAAAGACTTCTTGCATGGAAGAGATCCCATCCTATTAAAGAATTGTAGAACATAAAACCGTTAGCACAATGTTTGAGCAGTACAAACACAAGATTTTCCTTGAAGCCACCAAACACTTGAAGGAAAAAAATAAGAGAGAGGGAAAGAAAACTCTTACAAGCGGTTCCTTGATGAAGTACTATGATACAAGTTTAAGTTCAGATTCCTAAGGAAAAAAACAGATGAAATATTTTTTAGCTCGAATCGTACCAAAGAAGAAAGTATAAATACAAGACTAAAACAAAGGTAGTCTAACATGTTCTCCTGACAAGCAGGTTTCTCAGGGCCTTGCCATTTAAAGTCGTTGTATGAAAGATCACTGCATCCAAGTACTGAGAATCATTATAAATTTCCAAAGCAAAGATGGGAACAAACTTAGACAAGGGAATAAATGGAAATGTGATAAGTAGTGTCACCGGCAGAAACATACATGCTAGTTCCTTGCTTCAGTATAGAACCAGGCACATCTCCACGCAGCAAGTTGCCACTTAAAAAGCTATTAAAAGCCCACACCAGATGGTCAGTGTGTCGTATCAATCCGGATGAGAGAAAAGAATCAAGTTTAAATTAAATTTTAATTTCAAATATCAATGTCAGTTTTTAAGTGACTCGAGACTAATTGAATCTCAATTAAGATTGCTGTAATCCCTAAAACCATGAATGTCAGCTTCTATCTGTGCACATGCACCTATATTTTCTATCTTCTACAATAAAGAAGCCCAAACTCCAAATGCTTATTCAGATTCATAAAACAATCTCCTTTTTTTTCTGCAAAGGAGTCCAAAAGAAAGCAAAATGCTGCCACAATCTCAAATTTATACTCACACAAATCTTAGACGATCTGCAGTTATGCTGGTCGGGATTTCCCCAAATAAATTGTTGAAACTGAGATCCCTGTTGCAATTGTGAGATTAGTTAACCATAGTGTCCAAAATGTCAAACATGATTTTGCAAATTAGGAGTCGCAATAAATCAGTTAGATACTTGCTGTCTTAATTAAAATGATATGAGTTCATTGCAGCAAATAACTTGGTGATAGAAAATCTATTCAAGAAGGTTCTTGAGGCAGATTTTAACTGAATAAATAATAGAGAAATGTGCTCTAGAATATTAAGTCCAAGGAAATTAATGGGAAGTAAATCGTGAACTTTGCTTCCACATACATAGACAGTAATTGAAACCAAAAAAAAAAACAAACAAACAAAGAAACCAGACATGTTTTTCACTTCAAATTTGTCTTCTAAGTGCTTATTATATTCTAAGTACCCTTTGGCATAGCGATTATTCTATAATTATAAGCCCGATGCTCCCATATTTCTATTTAAGCATAAATACCATGACTTTTTCAGCAGAAGACTTGCAGTCCGCCCGTGTAATATGAATAATTTGTCTGCAGGTTAAGTTAAAACAATGTTTAATGGCAAAATAGTAGTGAACAATGAAACTATGGTTTTCAACCAAACTTATTGAGGCTATGATTTTAGTTTCTCAAAAAGAGAATGATGCACATGTGTATGCAAAAACAAAGACTTGTTCCAGTATCAAATATGTTCCCTCCGTATGAATAACCTGTGAGAGGAAAGTGAATGCAAACAGTGGAAGGTAAGGAAACTTTATGCCCCAAAACCTTGCATATGTTTTACTTACAACATTTCCAAATACTCCATTGCCCAAATGTAATCAGGGATCTTTCCAGAAATGTTGCAATTCCTCAAAACCCTACAGAAATACAGCAGGATTAGGTTCAGTCAAAGCAGATCATATATAGATGGCACCTGCAAAATATTTGATAATGTGAGCACTAAACATACAATGTAACTAGGCCTTCCATGTTTCTGAGCATGGGAAAACCCTGACTTGGCCCATGTATATCACTAATCCTCCTGCATAAAACATAAGTCCATCAGTGAAAAACAAAAATGTAGTAGTGCAAAATTAAGTTAACGACTGCAAGTAACAGAGGCATTATATTTATACTCACAGCACCAGTAATTTCTTCAAACGAAATAGGTTTGCAGGTAATGGTCCCTGGAATCCACTTGCATGCATTTCTCTACAATAAGTCAGAATGGACAAGTAAATTGTAAGAAAATGAATAAATGCATATGTACATATATTAAAAATCTGAATTTTATTTTAACTGAAAAACTTACAGTCTGCTGAGTTGTCCCCAGTTTTGTATGAAAGTAGGTATTCTACCAATGAAGTTATTATCATTTATCCTACTGCAGTAGACAACAAAAAGGACGCTGGTCCTATGAACATATCTAGATATGTAGTTTAAAATACTGGCAAATTTGAAGAAACATACAAGTCAGTTAGATTTCTTAGTAAACTAAAAGTCGCTGGCAAATTCCCAGTTAACCGATTGGAGGAGAGCAACCTGAAATTACAATGAGCATAAAAAAGAAAACAAATCATTTAACATCGAGGGGAAAGTAATTAACATGAAATTGAAATAATTGCAAAATATCAAACAAAGAAGATACTGAGTTTTCCCTTACAATGTTTTCAAGTTCACTAAATCCCCTAGTTCAGGTGGTAGGGGGCCCAAAAATTGGTTTGCTTCAAGGTTCCTGATTAAGAAAAAGCATCAAACATCCTTCATAAATTTCCTAGGAGTGAAAAAAGGAATATGAAAAAAACCTATAATTTCATAGGACCAACATATATACATCAACTAAACCACAGGGTTTGCTATTTTGATTTTGTGATGCAACTTCTTTATAGGAACAAAATCATCATAATACTCTCAAAACATTAACTAAAAATATATAATTAACCAAGGTTCAGAACATACAGATATGTGAGAGTGGTAATTTTTCCCAGATACTTTGGAATTTCCCCTGACAAGCGATTTACTAGAAGAGAGCTGACAAAAACTTTAAGGTTAATATATTATAGGAGAAAAATCCTATTTTAAAAGTTCTAGAAACTTACATAAAAGTCAAGTTCATTGAAGCCCATTCACTTGGAATGGTACCATTTAGGTAGTTGTAAGCAAAATCACTGCAACAAAAAGTAAGATAAAACAGTTCAACATTATTGCTCAAGATTCCAATTAGCATGTAAAATATAAACATCATAGTAAATCATTTCAAGAGCTCTTACATTCCTCGAAGGTAAGTAAGCTTAGCCAGTTGAGGAGGAAGTATTCCAGGAAGGTTATAACCCTTGAGCACTCTAAAATACGTAAAACAAGCCATATAACAACCAACAAAAGGAAACAGATCAATAGCCCCTCTAAGGAAACCACAAAATACATAAACTAGTGAAATAGTTTTACCATGGTCATCGCTTCAAGGGGGTATGCAGATATGTATATGGAAATCATGCCTCAAAACCAGAATATATGCAAATATAAGCAACTTAGATTACAAAAGCCAAATCTACGCTTAAATGCTGTCATTGACAACCCCCTTATATTCACTTTAGTTAGAACTTAGAAGTATCCATGCATACAAATACTGACCATATATAATATATTACATTTAATCAGATTAAAGAAACAAAGTAAATTAGCTAGTTACAAGATGAAGGAATAATACATCCTTACGACGTGACAAACATTGCCATCTGCCTCACATTCACAAGAGATCTCATGCTCAGAATTCTTTGGTGGCATTAGTGTTACCCCAAACCTTTCAATTTCACAGGAATCACCATTAAATTTCCAGTATATGGAGCCCATTGCAGTAGCAATCTCTTGCAAGGCATCAACTAGAAGACATCCATAGTTCCATGAGCATCGCAGCAATAAATATGAACAAAAAATGAATAGAATCATAGCCATCTTTGTTCATTAACATATTGATTAATTCAACTTCCACACCAGTAGAGCATAAAAAGAGTAAATCAATACACTTTAAAGAGTAATAGGGTTATATTTGAGGTAATGCCCGTGTATAGATTCACAGACTGCCTATATCCATAATAATCTTACTTAGACCAGCATTCGAAATTGTAAACATGTAAATAAGATGAGAAGGGCTGGAAAATATAAGGATTAATTGCTTAAACCAACACATTTCAATTACCCAACACGTTTCTTTTTTGCCAGAAAGCATGCCAAAGATCACACTGTGTGTTCAAAACCAAATACATATTCATACAATGTTTATGATTCTTTTGACTTCTTGACGGCTACAAATAACTCAATAATAGAGGCAGAAGTCTTGTTTATTGATGAACTTTTCAAGAAAAGAAAGATTCAGTGTCATTATGAACACCAAATAGGGGTATTTAAGCAACAAAACAATAGTTAGTACTATTTCAGATACTTTGTTAATCAACCCAAGAAATCTAAAGCAGCAAAATCCTAACAGATCCCAGTTTACAGATAAGTTCCTGCAATTGGTTTCTAAATTTCATTCCACTTTCCCTTCATCTTTCCAGCGAACTAAAAAAGTATACTAAAAAACCCCCATTTTTCAACTTTATCTCTTCAACCAAATAAAACTACCACAAATAAAAAAGCAAACCTTGAACTCTGACTCACCTTCTTCTCTGGGCACCTTAGCCTCAGCAAAACTAAGCAAGCTGAAGCAACCCATTGCAATGATCCAGAAGACAAGCATTTTATGGGTAACCATGACGATTACGAGAAGCGGCTCTACTCAATCCAAATGTTTATGCTTATAATCGTGCAAGTAAAGTTAGTGACTTCAATAATCCAAAAAAAAACCGAGATAAAGCTAATCGAAATACTTGTATTTGTGGCAAGTAAACAATACAAGTACAGGAAGGGAATTAGAAGTAGAAGTAGCCCCCTTACTTTGGTGTATACTGAACTGTTTATACATAATAAAGGAATTTTTGTCCGCAAATATTGGCAATCTTTTAACTGAGTGGAATGTCTCTGTCCTTTTCACAAACATATATATATATTCAATTTTAATTGCTGCCGTAAATTCACGTTTTCTTTATTTCCATAATAATGATTTGATGTTTTAAGTTAAGGTAAGCAGCATCCATGGATGAGTCTAAAGCACGAAGCCACCTTTTGGGTTGCTGAGCTTCCTGTTCTTTGGACTAAGTTTTGTGTGTTTTGTCCATTAAAATACTTTGAATTCTATGGATGATCGATACCAAACTCTTTCGTTGTTTTACCATTAATAATTCGATCCTTAATTTGAATTTCCATCTTGAATGAGAGGAGAGATAAGGCTATGCATGTCAGCTGATAGGCGTTGATTCTGACAGTGGTATTTGGTACATAAACTATAAAATGAAAGGCAGTTGACTTTACTTTCAGACAAGGTGGGCTGCTCATTGTTTCCTCAAAGCCTAATCCATTGATTTTTCTCCAACGTTGTTTGTCAGCCTATTGAATTATATTTTTTTAATAATAAATAAATTATTTTCAACTTTTATATAAATAATCCCTTTATTCTTATTTTTTTTTTAAAATTAGTCTTTAATATTTTTAATTTTAGTTAGACAGATCTTATTAGATAAAAATAATTAATTGAATAACAATCAATATATACATGGACGTGACATTTTTGAATATATTCAATTATTGATTTGGCATGTGTCACATTATTTAATGTGATGACGAAACATATACAACGACACTCAAAGTGATGATATAGCATGTACCGTGTTAACAATTGAATACGTATAAAAATATCATGTCAGCAACATGTGTTGGTTGTTAGTTTACTAATGGTTTTCATCTAGCAAGAGCAGTTTTGAACAAAAATTAAGGACTAAAATGTTCTAAAAAAATAATAGAAACAAAGTGACTATTTACATAAACGTTATAATTTTGTCATCATGCCCTTTTTAGGTAAACGACATATTTAGTCAACACATATCATTTTTTTTTTTTTTCATCAATTTTTTAAATCATATCTAATATTATGATTTGTTTATATTTTAATCACTTGTTGTTAATTTTTTAATAACAATAATAACGAGACATTTTTTTATTGTTTTATGATACCGATATGGTATTTTTAAAATTACTTTTTATTTTCCACATTAACAATCCAATGATATTTAATTAATTTTATACGATCAATAAAGTGATGACACATGTTATCACATTGTGAAAATAAAATACATTTTAATTAAATATTTTTTTAAATAATTTATAATTCACAATTCAATAACTTATGATATTTTATAGTTTTATATTTTTAATATTTTAATAATTTTAATAATTTTTATTCATTTTTTTAATATTTTAATATTGTTTTGTATTTTAAATTTTAAATTTAATTATTTTTTCTTAAAAAATCAAATTCTTAAACTTTTTAAAAAACAATTAGGTTCTCTAACTCGATCAAGAAATCAATTAAGCCCTTTGTCATGTCACCATCTATCAAGAACTATCACATGAATACGTAAATTATCAGGTAAGCACTTTAGGGATGGAGTAATGATTGAAGTTTAAGAGGGTAAGTTGTTTTGCTTCGAAACAAACAGTGTCTTTAAAATTGAATAAATAATAAATTTTAAAGGATACATGGTTCAATTTTATTAATTTTAAAATTGAAGGGTCTTAAAGAATAATTAAACTAGAAAAATTTGATCTCAATACATAATTTTACTTTAAAATTGAAATGATCATAAAAAATAATTAAACCAACAAATTTTAGGAGGGGGAGAGTTTAATTGTAATGGTTTTAAAAATATTAGTGACATAAAAATAATTAAATCATTAAAGTTTGAAAATAGTTATAAGTTCATCCCAAACATCGTGGATTATCATATCAACATCATGATATCAATATTTAATTTTTTTATCAAAAACTATATTAATTTTTTTTTCTAAAAACCACATTAAATATAAAAATAAAAACCATATTAATTTTAAAAAAATACCTAAAACACTATTAAATCATATAAATTTAACTCCTACTATTTCCCTCTTTATCACTTCGACCCTCGGCAGTAAAAAACTGATATTTGGTTCATTAATTTTGTGTCTCAATCTCCTGAGCTTTCATGGTATAAGAGTATGATATAATTTGTATTCGGGTAAATTACAAATTTATCATTAAATTTTACTTTCTCTACTATATTTCTTATTAAATTTTAAAAGTTTTTAATTTTTTCACTGGACTTAATATATTAGGTTTTTTTGTTACTCCGTCGTTAAATAGTTAACGGCGAATAAACAAAATTTTCACCAAAATGACATCGTTTTGCATCTATATAATAACTCATGTATAACGTCGTTAATGAGAAAACAACTAAGTGATAAAAAAACTCAATATATTAAATTCAGAGAGGAAATTGTAAAGTTAAGTACCAAATTTACAATTTACTCTTTGTATTTTACCATTAGCTTAGCCTAACATAAAAAAAGTTGGGTAAACTATTAGTTTTATTATGTTTTGATATTCAAACTTTATTTTTGTTTAATTTTGGTGGTCATTATTAAAAACATAATAATGATATTAATTTGTCACCGTAAGATAATATCATGTTATTATTAAAAAAAATTAAAAAAGAAGTCATATTAATAGTTATGTTATTTTTTTAACAATAAAGCATCAAATTAAAATTTAAACTAAACGTTTGATATAATTTTAAAAAATAAAATTTAAGCATTAAAATAAAATAAAAATAATAATTTAATTATTAAATGTGTAGTTTATCCAAAAATTTTTTTATCGATTTACTAAAATTTAATTTTAATATAAGTTGAAAATTTTCAAAACCGGTAAGGAAACGGACAAATATTGTGAGCGGTTCAATCGTTACCCATTTTGCAATGGACTCGGAAAGCACCAATGAAGCAAACCCGCTCTTCGATACACACGATGACTCCCCCATTCCCATTGACCAATCACATACTTCCACGGCTCACTTACCCTCTACTCTCCGCCGCCGATCCTTCTCTTCTGCTGGTGTCTCCTCCAAGGAACTCGGAGATTCCCTTCCAGAAATATCCGCCATCGACGACCCGTCGAAAATCGGTTCTGGAGACCCAAGCTCTAATCTTTACCACGATTTGGAACCAAATGAAGAGACGTCCGAGATAGCTGAGTCGATTCCCGATGGACGACTCAACTCTACCCATGTCATAGTAGAGAAAAACGATGACGAATCAACGCTCACCACCGCGGGAAACGATGGATTGATTGACCGTGACCCAAGCCCGGTTGAAAGCAACAACGAAGTGAACCAGCTCTTCGACGATGACAACCCCATTGTCATCGACCAATCAGATCCTTCCACGGCTCTGTTACCTTATACCCTCCGCCGTCGGACCTTCTCTCGTGCTGATGTCTCCTCCAAGAAACTCGGAGATTCCCTTCCAGAAACTTCCACCATGGACGACCCCTCGAAAACCGGTTCTAGAGACCCAAGCTCTAATCTTTATCACGATTGGAAACCAAATGAAGAGACGTCCGAGATCACTGAGTCGATTCCGGATGGACTCAATTCTACCCACGTCATAGCAGAGAAAAGCGAGGACGAATCGACTCTCACCAGCGCGAGAAACGATGGATTGGTTGATCGAGACCCAAGCTCGGCTGCTGACTCGGGGACAGAACTAAGTGAGTCCCTACATTCTTCCTCGAGTTTGCTATTGTTTATAGCTGGTTTAGTGACTAACGCAATCGGGTTTCAGTTAAGTTTGCTATTATGCTTCATTACAATACCGCTATCGGTGTTGGGCTGCTGCGACAAGGTTATCGTTGATCCTATTCAAGCTCTGAGGAAAAGCAGAGCTAATACAATCACAAGGGTGTTAGATGTATGGAATTCTACTTGTGGGTACTTTAGTCCTATGAATGAGTGGTTAAACTTGAAGGATCCTGGATCGATATGGAACCTCGTGTTTAGAATAGGGTGGGGATTATTACGGGCTATATATGTAGGCTGTGTTTTATGTGGCTTATTGTTGACTTCAATTCTGATTAGTGGGGTTTTGATGAGGTATTTGGTGGAGGAACCATTGGAGATAAAGGAAATGTTGAACTTTGATTATACTAAGACTAGTCCGGTCGTACATGTTCCGATTGTTTCTTGTGATGCGGTTGGTTGTGGTGCGAAATGTACTGAGAAGATAGTTATTGGGAAGAATGTTGGTTCCCGAGCCATACCGCGTGATCACAAATTGCAGCTCACTGTTTCTTTGACATTGCCAGAGTCAACTTACAACAGAAGACTTGGGATGTTCCAGGTATTTGGTTTGTTGATTTATGGAATGCAGATATTGTCATTACTTTCGAGTTATTTTACTTCTGTTCATCTGTGTTCTATGTTCAGCATCGGAAATCAGTTTGGGGTTTATGGTTCTGTTTGTAGTTTTAGGTTGGTTAAGTTCTATGCTGGAATTTTGCCTTTTAATATACTCTTTTATAACCTATTAGATGAAGTAATTTGACCTAGGAAGTTAGTAAGTTATCTTGTTGTTTGGTTTCGATTGTCCCTCAACTTTAATCATTAATTTATTGAGTTGTTATTTTCATCTGTTACTAACCTCTTGATACGAGTCATCGTACTTGAATGAGTTGATAGCATTGCTAACCTTATGATTTGCATTTAAATTGTAGTCAGCGAACCTGCATGAGAATTTGAGTATAAGTTGGAAGAAAATCGGGTGGTCAATCATTTGCATTTAAGCAGCATGAACTTGGGGTCTCAAACACAGATTTTGAGAACCCAGTTACATTTTGGTGCATTCTATTCTCCTGAACATCTCTATAATAATGTAATATGGTCCTTGAGGCGGATAATATGTTGGTTTAAACTCGAGTCTACGAAACAGGCTATGAAAGTTTGTTAACATGGAAAGATGTCCATTTTATTAAATGTGTTTCTTCCTGAGAACAGGTGATTCCAGTTTTCCTTTATCGGTTTTAGTTACCAAACTTGAATTGTATGAATGCTAGTGCAACTTCATTTTTTGTAGGTCAGGGTAGATTTCCTGTCTGTTAATGGTGACACCCTTGCCAGTTCAAGCAATCCTTGCATGTTGAAATTCAGAAGTGAGCCTATCCACCTTCTGCTGACATTCTTCAAGCTCGCTCCTCTAGTCACTGGCTATATGTCGGAGACGCAGACTCTGAATCTAAAGATCAGAGGTTTGAAAGAAGGAATTGTGCCTACCGGTTGCTTAAGGGTAGTACTTGAACAACGAGCTGAGTACAGACCAGGTGCTGGTATTCCTGAAATATACGATGCATTTCTATCGCTCGAGTCCGAACTTCCTTTCGTCAAACGAATGATACGGAGTTGGAAGAGAACGATATTCATATGGGTCAGCATGACATTGTTTACGATGGAGTTACTGTTTACTTTAGTTTGTTGCGGAGCTTTACTCGTTCCAAGAACAAGGACAAGAGATGGCTTTGGTAGCAGCCGGTCTACAGAGAATAGTTGGCGAACCCACGTTTGAAGTAAGCAAAGTTCACGATAATAATGTAATGAAGGGCACCTTATATTTGAAGAGTCTAATTCCATAGGGCACCTAAACCTTATTTTCCTACGAACTTCTCTAATTTATGTATTAACGAACATGTCTTTATTGCATATTATATTCCTAAATTGACAATTAAAAATAAGATAAATGCAATTCAGTTAATTAAAAATAATAAAAGTCCAAATTAATTTTTTTTCTTTAGAAATTATTCTCTGGTGATTTGATTCCAATTTCTTCAATAACAACCTGTTATATAAATAGGGGTGACACAAGGAATAAATCTAACGTATCAGACTTCGAAACAAAAAATTTAATTGGGTTGGAGCTATGGACTGATCTTAGAAGATATGCAAGTTTCAAGAAAGGAGAAGCACACATAAATTAGGATCATTTTCCTACCGATAACTCTTCATTCAAATTAAACGAAATAAATCATATATTGTTAGGTTAGCCACCTTTCTCATCGTCTAAATTATTATAAACCACCACCTAATTTGTTATCTGCTAATAACTTTAAATGATAAATAGTACTGTCATAAGATGATTTTCATCATTTATACTTTCACATAATTTTCAACTAGAATAATCAAAAATCATTTTTTAGAATTTAAACTCATATTTAATAAATAAATTATTGCCTAGAATTGCATGCTATCGAAAAATTCAAGCTGTCTAGAACCATTCAAACAATTCGAATAACTTAAAATTAAAAAAAAAAATCAATTATTTCGAATTGAGTCTAACTATGATCGCCACCGTAAAGAAAAACTTTTCAGAATTTCATAATAATTCAAGCAAAAATGTTATCCAGAATTTAGCTGAAATTTTTACGTATTGCTTTCTCATATCTGTTTAACAATGGGATTTCTGTAATTTAATTTCACGTGGAGTGCTTAATATATAATTTAAAAGTCTGATATTTATTTATGATTAACAAAAACAGAAAACACTGCAGAGAAATGAGAGTTTTACATAAACAACAAGAAAAAAAAAGGGGAGGGGGGAGAAACGAACGTATAAATTTTAACTAGAATTACGTGAAGCCTTGAGAAAAGAAGCACTCTTGGTGATTTCCCGCAATGGCTTATCGGTGTACCTCACCACGTTATAAGTCCAAGCACCCGACACTGCCCCGATAATTGGCGCTGTAAGATATATCCATAGCCCCTGATAATGATGCCACACGATTGCCGGCCCTAAGCTCCTTGCTGGGTTCATCGATGCTCCCGTAATCGGCCTGTAAATCACAAAATACGTTCAGATTTAAGTTAAAGACTTTGAGTCTAAATAGGTAGGGAGAAAAGCATTAAATACCCAGCAAACAGCACATTAAGCAGCACAGTAGCTCCAACGGCAAGTCCGGCAAGTTCTCCAATCTGCATAAATAATTTATATATAACGTCAGAGATATGGATAAAGATTTGGAAAGACTGGACTCTCACTGTCATTAATCTTATCTAGAATTGCTTTTGAGATACCAAATTGGTAGATATCAAAGGCAAGTGAGGTTGGCTACTGAAATTCACCAAACTCGTTGACTTACAGCTCTGTTATCAGTGGCGACGCCGGAGATAATAAACATGAGGTAGAAAGTGATGATGAACTCAATCACAAACGCCTGTAAATCCGATCCTTGCGGCGACGTTCCGGCGAAGACGTTGTCTGGACCGCTGAAGAGAAGTCGAAGTGTTCCGGCTGCCATAGTTGATCCCAAAACTTGAGCTGTTATATAAGCTGGCACCTACATGAAAAGAACATCAATCAAATTAAACCATTGGAAGCTCGAACATTGCCTTGAGGGTAAAATCCTGGAAAACAATGGTAAATTGGTAACCTGTTTGAGAGGAAATCTTTTGCAGGTAGCAAAAGCAATGGTGACTGCCGGGTTGAAATGGGCACCCGAGATGTGACCCACGGAATAAACCAAAACCATGACGGCCAATCCCCAGACTATGGAAATCCCAGGTAATGAAACCACTTTGTCATTGTTTACATTCACCACCACCGATGCACAGCCGGCGAATATCAAGAAATATGTCCCCAACACCTCTGCCATCAGCTTCTGCATGAAAGGAACAGTGAAACCTACGTCGGAGGAGGCTGGCGGAGGCGGATTCCGATCGGCTTCCGCTTCGACATTCAAAACGACTCCATGATTTCCATTACTCCCGGAGTTCTCAGCCATGACTGTAAACTTTTTATACTACAAGAAAATGAACCCAACACCAACAGTGAAAAGAGAGATGAGAGATGAGATTGTGTTCCACAAACTCACCGAGACAAAGGTATTTAAAGAGCAACCTAGATTATCCAGAAAAACAGGAGTAAAAAAGAGAATAGTTGGTTTTTTTTCCAGTTAAAAAAACAAATAAAAAACTAAAGATTGTCCAATGACAATGCATCTATTCATTTTTGTTGCTGCTGTTCCTTCTGCTTTGATTGTTTCACTTATTTTTTACTTGTTTTAGCATTATTATAACTCTCTCCTTCTTTGGAGATAACGTTGAAAAATCTGATTTTAAAGAATTTGTTTCAACGGATAAAAAGCACTGAAGATTGCTTCAAGTTCAACTACCCACCGATAATACAGAAATACATGAATTAATGCTTTAAATAGGTCCTCTTGTTGTGTAATCTTTGTAGTGATCAATTTCACATGGATTTTCCATTTTTTTTTGGGGCTTTGTTTTAGTCGGTAGATAGAGTTACCTATTTAATTGCATATTTTTCGGTATAAATGTATTATGTGGGTTCTTTAGGTAAATTTGTAATTCTTTAATTCCTTTTTGGAAAACTTTCCTTGTGTAAAAGATGCCATTTGAAGAAGAAAAATTAGCCTTTGTTGGGAGCCAACATTATCATTTGTGGGTGCTAATTTTTAGTTAAAATATTCTTTTTTTAATTAATCATTGGTATATACAGGTCGGATTTTGTAGATGTTTATTATGGTATAATCTTCCTAGTTTTATTTGCAAACTTCAGAATTCGAAGTGACATTATTTAAGAAATCTAGTATTTTATTCTACCAGACCAATTGATTGTTAGAATGTTCTTTAAACCTCCTTAAAATGATGGGATTCAAAAGAAAGATATATTAAGGGAGAGAGAGAAAAACAGAAGAGGATACTATTATTTTATTTTTATTTTAGGATTATTGAGCACCTTATAACAAGTATAGAATATTTTCTTAAAGCTTGGTAATATAATATCTCAAATAAAAAAAAAAGGTTAACATCTACTTACATAATTTAAAATTCATTAATTTTACACAGATTTCAAACCATTGAATGACCGAAAGTAGAAGGATGAGTCGATTTCTTGTTTTTTTTTCCAGTGAATATCTTCTAATTTTCTACCGTTAATCTCAGCCATCTAATAGAGTTTTACATTATATAATAGGATCATATCCCATAAAAAATATATTTGACTTAATTTTAATTTAATTTATAATATATTAATAATCATTTTTCTTTGATATTAAATCCCGAAATCATGGATAATTTTTCTTCCTCTCCTTAAAAATGTATACTAATTTTACATTAAACAAACAATGAATTTATAAACAGATTCAAATATTAAAAATGTCGTCAATAGATTTTGTAAACAGATTTAAGTGTTTTTGAAGGTTACATTTAATACCGTACATATCCAATTAGGGACAAAATCAAGACTAATGAACCAAATTGAAAAATTTAAAAGTTCAAGGCACCTAATAATATTTGATCCCTAAATTTTGGAAGTCTAATATTTAATTTGATAAATATTCAAATTAATGGAGACTAAAATTATCATTAGATTCAAAATTGGGGTAAAGCCCCTCTAATACAATTAATAGATTCCTCAATACCTCAAGTTGATGGTTATCTGATTCTCCTTTAAATCCATCTTATTTTGAATTATCATATTAATTCTCATCTTTATAAGTTCTCGTTGTTATTTCATATATATTGTGTTTAAGTTTTAATAAAGTCATTTTTTTTAAAGATGGTACTTTGTATTACTAAGGATTACAAAGTAAACCACTTCAAGGACCTCATTAAAAAAATTCCCTAATCCTAAATGGAGGAAAAAGAGTGTACCTTGAGGTGGTAAGGAACAATCAACACAAGAACTAACATCACACAATCCATCCCCATCCCTACAACAATCCCCCGACATATCATAAATAAGCCAACCCTAACAAACCTAAGGGGGCAAACACAAAAAGGCATAACCAAAGAAATAGACCAACACCTCTAACGTAACAACAACAACATCCATAGCTTAAACTGAAGACAAGCACTGAGACTTAAGAAAGTCCCTTACATAAACTGAACCATAGGATAAGCGAGAACTTGAAGCTCGATACTCTAAAGAGCAAGCAAACTTAAAAAATAGGCATCGGTTGCAAGCAGAATACCCGAAGAAAAAACAGATCCCAAAATGCACATGCTACAAAAAATACTCGGGTGAGGACAAAAGCATAAAACCAAATAACAAGAACTTCACCAGAATGCCCAGCAAACCAATTCAACTAAAACATAGCAGCACAAAATAGAAGTAGGCACCACTGACGATTGCTTCCAGTTTACACCCAACTTCGTTCACTACCGGAATCAATTGTTGGCCAAAGGAAGTTCGCCCAGACCCCGAAAATGCAACAGCACCCTAACTAGAACGAATGCAAGCACAAAGAAATGGAAACACACATGCAGAACTTCCAAAGAAAACAACTCCCAGAAACCACTCCATGCTGCTCTTTGCACTCTGCTTCTTCTGTGATTTAGGGAGATAATTCAACAAAGAGCCTGACTACCATTCTGAAGAGAAGAAGTTTTGCAACCACCGGTCTCAAATAAGCCCTCGTCAAAATAAATAACTCCTTCTAAAAAGGAAAAAAATTTCACTTTGCTAAGCGAAGATGTTTCAACCCGAATACCTTCCACTCTGCCTTAAAGAGAAACAACTACTACTGGAGCTACTAAAATCTAAAAAATAGGAGATGGAAAGGGTCATTCAAAATGGCCTAGCTCTCTATTAATTCAACTTATCCACCAACAGATGGGCACGACAAAAAAAACAAATGCCGACAATCTCCTCATTACCACAACAGAAAACGCATGTGTAAACCAGCTTTACAGGGCACCAACTTCACTTAACTTGTTTTTTAGTATTTCTTTGAAACTTTCTTTAATAAATTTAACCTCGAAAACAACATCAGCATCAGTACCCTCCTGCTACCAAGTAAACATTTCAAGTTCGGCGACTGCGCCGCTCCACTATCGGCCGGAGAGCCAACAATGAAAACACAATGCAATACACAAACACAGGAGCGGAGAAAGTACAACATCTATAAGTAACACTGAAGAACTTAAAGCATTCCAAAGCAAACACAAGACAGTTGCAGCAACATCACACATATAAAACGATAGATCACCAAAGCACAGGCCACTGGACAACCACACCAACCAAACAATAATCGTTGAAATGAAATACTCCACCAGAGAACAGCTTACAACCAATAATACTTGAGCCACAACAAAACAGACTAACAAAAAACAACCTACTAAAAACCTTACGCTAAAATACTACTTAGAAAACCACTCTAGCTCCTCTAAAAAACCACAACAAAAACCTCAAGACCAAAGCCTTTAACCTCCACAACCCCTAACAGTCACGCACCAAACTCAAAACATTCTGGAGACGCTAAATCCTTGAGAAACTCACATTCAGAACCAATATCAATTGCGGATCCAATCCTTGAGCCTATACGACTCATCTTCTTTAGAAAATACACACTCAGAACCACACCAAAGCAACCCACTATCAGCCATAAACCTTTCCAATGAAAGTGTTTGGTAGAATATCCACACATAAAGAAAACGTAATCAGCGGAAGACCTAAATCACACTCTCCCTCAAACTGTAATTTTTCAAACGAGCAATAGACTGGTTCACTATGGCTTTTACACAAACAGCTTGCATGCAATATTAACTATCACAAACTGACTCCAGAAGCTGACTAGAACCCACGCAGAGACTCACGATTTTGAAACTAAATCACCAAAAAAAAACCCCAAAAACTCCAGGGCGAGGCCGGCCAATCCTTTGTTCAAAGAACAAAAAAAAGATTCAACATCACGGTGTTTGGCTTTAGAGAACAAGAGAGAAGCAGTCAAAAAAGAGTGAGAAAACAGCAAGGGCGGTGATGGAAGCGGCCACCACCGCCCAGACAACGACAGCAGACTCCCTCCTTGAACCAAGTTTCGTTCGAGTTAGGACTGAACAAATAATATTAATAATAAAGTCGCTAACGTATTTTCATGTTCTATTATTGTCAATATTGAAGTCTTTTTTGGTGTTGACATATTTATGTTTTAACTCGACAATAATTATTGTTTATACTTTTATTTTATTTTTTTATAAATTTTAAATTTAAGTCTAATTGTAATCTTATCTAGAAGGGAGGAAAAGATGGAGAAAGAAGAAAAGTGCTCTTAGTGGATGTTGAACTCATGACCTAAAGGATTATAAGAGAATAAAGATGAGCATTTTGATTAATTGACCAAATATGCTTGCTCTTGACTAAAGTTCATGCTTAATTTTAATATTTATCCTTTATTTAAATTAACTTCCGTGCTTTTTGTGTGATTTAATCTTTTTAACTCCTATTTTAGTAACTTGTTTATTCTTTAAAATTTTAAAGTAAGTTCATATATCCATTAAAAAAGTAAGTTCATATATTTTACATAACACTTAAAATTTTCAAATTATTTTAAACTCATAAATTGAATATGGTACGTTTAAAAGTATTATAAATATCACGTTTTATTAATATTACAATAGTAATCATATCACTCGACCTAACAAATTCTAATTTATATCTAAATTGACTTTTAATACAAAATAACTTTTCACTGGAACCATCAAGTGACTTCAGTGATAAAAGAGAATATTGTTCTCTATAGATGTCTTAGGTTCGAGCAGCTGCATCCAAAGTGTATATGCTTTATAAATAGATTAAGAAAGTTTTAAACATATATTACCTTGCAATTACCTCATACTATTAAAAGAACTTTTTCACTTGAAAAATACGAACTTACTTTTGTTCAAATTAATAAAATACAAGTTTATTTAGGTGTTAACATATGAGATTTGTCTATAATTCAGTTTTTTTTAATATTTTAACAATGATTTAATTTGTTTATATTGTGTCATAGACAAAGCCCGGTTCCATTAAAACTCAAAACATCACATCCAGTATAATTATAAAAAGGAA